TTTTTATAAGGCTCCATTACATAGGCAAGATTGACTAAATCCCTGACCATTAATGATGGAACTCCATCTTTGGCCCCTCTCCCCTCCATGGAGGTGGCCGGTAGGATAGGACTGAAAATAGCGACCCTCTAATTACAGGGTTGGCTCCTCTAGAGACCAGCCCCCATTCTTAATTTTTTGACTTTCCAAAAGTCACCTCATTAACATAACAAGAGGCAATTTTATGACTCTCAAACTTAAGAAATTTCAAGGGTTTCAGGAGCTATGAGTCAGGAATTGTGGGCAAAGACCAGATATATATGAAAAATATATTATGGTCATCAGAATGACCAAATACATATTTATTATAAATTATACTATCACACCATGTAACATTTCTGTTTTGTTTTACTTAAATCAAGTCTCTTAAATTTTTTTCCATTACAGTTTACATTCAATGTTATTTTGCATTAGTTTCAGATATACAACATAGTGGTTAGATAATCGTATACTCTATAGAGTGTTTTCCCAGTATTTCCAGTACCCACCTGGCACCATACATAGTTATTACAATACTGACTATATTTTTTGCTGTATTTTATATCACCATGACTATTTTGTAATAACCATTCTGTACTTCTCAGTTTTCACTTTTTACATCCAGCCCTCCAACCCCCCTTCCCACTGACAACTACCAGTCTGTTCTCTGTGTCTATGAGTCTATTTCACATTTGTTTGTTTATGTATTTTGTTCTTCATATTCTACATACAACTGAAATCATAGAGTATTTGTCTTTCTCTGACTGCCTTTTTTACTGACATATATCACCAATTATTAAAGGATGTAACTCAGAAACAGCCAGTTGGAAGGGATGCATAGGTCCATCACTTCTGATCCATTTAGGTCCATCTATGCTGTTGCAAATGGCAAAATTCATTCTTTTTTATGGTCAAGTAATATTCCATTGTATAAGTACCACAGCTTTTTTATCCTCTCATCTATTGATGGGAACTTGGGCTGTTTCCAAAATGTGTTTATTATAAATAATGCCATAATAAACATAGGGGCGTGCATATTCTTTCAAATTAGTGTTTTGGGTTTCTTCATATATATTTCCAGAAATGGAATTGCTGGGCCATAAGGCAGTTCCAGTTTTAATTCTTTGAGGAACCTCCATACTGTTTTCCTTAGTGGCTATGCAAATCTGCTTTCTCATCAATAGTGCACAAGAGTTCCCTTTTCTCCACATCTTTGCCATCTCTTGTTTGTTAATATGTTTATGATAGCCATTCTGACAGGTGTGAGGTGATATCCCATTATGGTTTTAATTTGCATTTCTCTAATGATTGGTGATTGTAAGCATCTTTTCATACGTCTACAGGCCATCTATATGTCCTCTTTGTAGAAGTGTCCTTTTAGGTTTTAATGGACACTTGACCAGTTTTAATTGGATTGTTTGTTATTTTGGCGGTGAATTGTATGAGTTCTTTATAAATTTGGATATTAACCTCTTATCAGATGTATTATTGGTGAATATGTTCTCCTATTAAATGTGTTCTCTTTTCATTTTATTGATGCTTTCTTTTGCTGTGCAAAAACTTTTTACTTTGATATAAACCCATTTGTCTATTTCTTCTTTTGTTTCCCATGTCTAAAGAGATACATCAGAAAAAATATTGCTAAGGGAAATGTCTAAGATTTTACCACCTATCTTTTTTTCTACAATTTTTATTGTTGTAAGTCTTACATTGAAGTCTTTAATCCATTTTGAGTTTATTCTTGTATATAGTATAAGAAGGTACTCTAGCTTCATTGTTTTGCATATATCTGCCCAATTTTTCCAGCACCATTTATCTAACAGACTGTCTTCACCCCATTGTATATTCTTGCTTCCTTTGTCAAATATTAATTGATCATAAAAGTGTGGGTTTATTTCTGGGCTCTCTATTCTTTTCCATTGATCTACATGATTGCTTTTATATCAGTGCCATGCTGTTTTGATTACCATAGCCTTGTGGTTGCTTGATATTGGTTAGTGTAATCGTCCAACTCTGTTCATTTTTCTCAGGATTGCTGTGGCTATCGGGGTCTTTTGTGGTTCCATATAAATTTTCAGATTATTTGTTCTGTTTCTGTGAAATATGCCATTGGTGTTGTGACAGGAGCTGCACTGAGTCTACAGATTGCTTTGGGTAGTATGGACATTTAAATCCAGTCTTTATGGAACTATTTCTGAAAATATTGGGACGGTGAGCTCCAGAGTCAGCCTGCTCTGTTCGAATTCCTGTTTCTTTGCCTTTTAGTTACCTGTCCTTAGCAAATAACAATCTTTCTGAGTCTCAGCTTTCTCACTATAAAATGAAAACCACCTCATAGGGGTGCTGTGTGAATTAAATGGGGTATGCATGTAAAGCATTTGGTATTAGTGAACATTCAAGTAATGCTAACAATGAATACTTTATGCACATGAGAATCGATTCTTGGTTATTGGGATCATCATCACGGGCACTAATGATTATGGGGAAACTAATAAGTTGACACTCTTCGGGCCTATTAAGACCCATAAAGTTATTTGTCCTATCTCTAAATGGCCCCTGACTATCAGTTGTCACATTCTGAAATTGCTAATTTATATAGGAACCTAACAGTTTTCTTCCTTCCTTAGTGTTTTACCGACAAATCGTATAACCCAACTGGTTAAAATTCTATCTAAAGCAGGAGTATTAAAGCTCTGACTGAATGCCCAAGTCTGTCCTTCAGTGCCTATACTCTGTGCTATTTTAGCCACTCAGATCTTTACTGCTGATTCCAAGGTTATTGGCTAGGGAATGACAAAAGCCCAATACAGCATGACCTCACTTATATGTGGAATCTAAAATAGTCAAGCTCATAGAAGCAGAGCATAGAATGGTGGGAGGGGGGAATTGGGGCATTTTGGTCAAGGGTACCATTTCAGTTATACAAGAGGACTCAGTCCTCAGATCTAATGTGCAACAAGGCAACTATAATTAACAATACTGTTTAGTATACTTGAAATTTGCTAAGAAGGTATATCATAAAGTATGCCACCAAAAAAATGTAACTATGTGAGCTGATGGATGTGCTAATTACCTTGATTATGGTGATTATTTTACAATGTCTATGTATATCAAAACATCAAGTTGTACACCTTAAATATATACAATTTTTTTGTTAATTATACCTCAGTAAAGCTGGAAAAAGAACAAAGCTATAGCTACATTAAATTGTCCATGGCCTGGACAATTCAACACAGATTAAAAGTATGCCACAGTTTTTTTTAAAAGATTATCTGTAATGTCTCTGATAGATGATGTTATCAAGTGGTCTCCAGGGAAGTGACATACTCAATATTTTACACTTGTAGCTGAATGACGCATGTCTTTAAAGGTCTATAGCTTTAGAGACCCAACAAAGGAATAATTGTACCACCTTATTTTTAAAGTAAAATATGGCATATAAATAAAAACATACCTAAGCAAAGTTTTTCTGGTTCAAAAAATTGTAACAGCCTGTCTAGAAACAAAATCTCAGCTCCATAATTCAGATAGGGTTCATTATATTTCTTGACTTTTTTGTGTGATTTTTAAACTAGCAAATCCTATTATTCTTTATGGAAACATTGTACAAGAGAGGCCAGAACCGCTACTTGCTGTCTACATGAGTGATGCCCCCTGAAGTTGTGTAAAGAAATCCCAAGTGAGACTGCCTTCATAATAAATTTGTGGGATTTGTATTTTGGCGTTTTTTTTCAGTGTTTCATAGCCAAACCTTCTCAGTGTCCAATATAATCACATCTACCTCCTAGTCATTCTCCCAGCTGTGAATGCATCTTAGCAACATTCATCCTAATTTTGAGGATGTATTTTTTCCAGGATATAATCTTTCTATACCTTTTTCATCACTTCAAAAATTATAAACACGGTTCTATAAAATAAAATAAAGTCCAGACGTCAGCTGATTCTCCTGATTCTGGCTCCTAAGTAGAAAACTCTACATTTTTAATAGACTTTTATATTTACATTTTATATTTTTAAATTTTGAAACCCTGTATCTTTCTCTTTTTTTTTAAATGTATAGTTGCTTCTCGTGCATCCCCTGCTAAGAATTGGCCTGCAACCCAGGCATGTATACTGACTGGGAATTGGACCGCCATCTTTTGGTTCGCAGGCCCATGCTCAATCCACTGAGCTACACCAGCCAGGGCTGTATCTTTCTTATTTTGCCTTCTGATCTTGTCCCTTCCTCCAGTCAGCCTCCCCCTCTAACACACACACACACACACACACACACACACACACACACACAGCAGGTGGCCCACAGTGTCATAAACACACTTTCTTCTCCCTTGTCCATTGACTGTGGGCATTTACTCATACTGCTCCTTCTCTATGGAAAGCCCTGTCTCTGTTTCCTTGGCAAACCCTTACGCACTCATCAGAACTCAGAAATGACTGGCCACTCCCTTTTGAGGCTTCCTCTGTCCCCATGTGCTGGGTGGGGCCCACTCGTGTGTGCTCCCATGGTGCCCTTTCTTCCCTCTCTTAGCCCTTGGTCCCTGCTAAGTGCCAGCAATCATCTGAACTGAAAACTCCTTAAGGAAACAACCCTCAAATCTCCTTTCTACCCACCTTGTGTAGCATGTGGTCTGGATTTGATACTCGGTGAATGATCCTATGAATGTCATCTCCTTCTTATAAAAAAAAAATCAGTGTACTTTCAACTAATTGAGCAAATCGTGAGCTCCTAATTTTGAAGTTAAATGCCCTTCTGATTATCTTATCAAATAATTGAAAATGTAAACATGTAAGAATGATCAGTGTAAACACTTGGATGACAGGGAAGCTCCCCTGTCCTGGTTTTGTTTATCTTTGCTCCTAGTAAGACACCTTGATCTCTCCAGGTCGGAAAGCCTTGCCCAGGTGGGGGCTGACATGATAGCAGAGGGGAGCACAGAATGTTAGTTGCAACACACCCCCCACTTTTTAAAAATCTTTTTCAGGTTACAAATGCCGCTGCCAAATATCCTGGCCAAATGACTCTCCATCTCCAACCTTTCCTTGTGTGCGGAGGGGACGGATTCACTCAGTCCAACTTTGACGGTTGCATCACTTCTGCTTTATGTGTTCTGGAAGCTTTAAAGAATCATATTTAGTATTTGTATTCTTTCAATTTGTGTTCTTTGTATGTCTTTTATTTTTTTAATTACAGCTGGCATACAATGTTATGAGTTTCAGGAGTACAACATAATGATTATACATTTATATAACTTAAAAAGTGATCACCCAAATAAATCTGTTTAGTATCTGTTCTTATCTTTTGCATGTACTTTGGGTTTTGGATCTCACCAATCTCTGTTATTGGTTGTTTCATTTTCTGTTTTTTTATATGTTTCCTTTGATCACCTTTTATTATTTTTTTTATTTTTATTTTATTGATTATGCCATTACAGTTGTTCTATTCCCCCCTTCATTCCCCTCCACCCTGCACACCCCCTACCCCACCATTACCCCCCCTTTAGTTTATGACCATGTGTCTCAAGTTCTTTAGAGTCTATATTTCCCATACTATTCTTGCCCTCCCCCTATCTATTTTCTACCTAACGTCTATGCTACTTATTCTCTGTACCTTCTCCCCCCTTCTCCTTCTCCCACTCCCCTGTTGCCAACCCTCCATGTGATCTTCATTTCTATGGTTCTGCTCCTGATCTAGCTGTCCTCTTAATTTGCTTTTGTTTTAGGTGTGGTTGTTAATAACTGTGAGTTTGCTGTCCTTTCACTGTTCATATTTTTATCTTCTTTTTCTTTTGATGAGAAGAAAAAGAAGATAAAAATCTTTCTTTTCTTTCTTTCTTTCTTTTTCTTTCTTCTTTTTCTTTTTCTTTTTCTTTCTTTCTTTCTTTTATCTTTCTTTTTCTTTTTCTTTCTGTTTTGATGAGAGAAATTATCAAAAATTGTTCTACATTTGTCATTTTTTATGGAGATTTTATGATTTATAAAATCAATTTTTAAATTTTGATAGTTACAACCCACACTAGAATAAAACTTCCTTTGACTTTCTATCTTTTGCTACCTTTCTGAGTTGCCATGACTACTTCTTGATGGACAAAGTTAGTGCTTAAGAGTAACAAATGACCCTCCAAAATAATTACGTGAAATCACAGTAACAGTTCATGTTCCCAAACCTTTATTATTCTTTTGAAAATTTTGCTTTCAAATAAAGAATAACCATTATCAAAGCCTGGTTTTTAATCTTCAAGTGTGCCCTTGATTCAGTAATTTTGCAGCCTGCTGAACTACAATGTTCCTCCAAACTGTGAATAATTTTTGTCTCTTCTTTTTCTCCCAAGTCATTAAATAATCCTGAATTGTAGGTCAGCCATGTCCTCGTCTCTGAGAGGGCAACTTGACTGATGAAGTAACCTCTCTTTAAATTGTCAGAAAATAACTAGATTCAACTTCCAAGTGACTTGTGATTTTCCAAGTCACACAATGTTTTTTAACTTTAAAAATAAGGCTTATTATGACAAATAAAAATTAAATGGAAACTGAGAGAAAATGTATTGGTCTTTACCTTATGTTATCTCCCATGGCTGCTGCTGCTGCATTTACATACATTCCAGTATGTGCTGTGGCGTTCAGACTGTGTCAGGCTTAGTGAACTTAATACAACCAAGAGATGCATTGAACCAGAAACTAGATGTACTTAAAGTAGTTCAATATTTGCCAACATACTGGTTCAGTGACCCACATGCTTTGGTGACAACCCGGTGACTTGCTGCCTGGAGAGAAATTGGTCCCCAGCCTTCCAAACAAGCTACCTGTTGCTAATTTGAAGAGCAGGATGGTAAGTTCTATTTTATCATTTTGAAAGGAAAGAAATTGTTGTAGCCTCTCAAACTAAAAAAAAGTCTAACAAAAGACTTTTTACCTTGGTTGTGACCTTAAGCTTCACGCTTACATGCCCACTGATCATACACACACACAGGCATGGGAAGAACTTGCTTATACAGCTACAGAGTGGGTTTGTGATTCTAGGGAATATTATGTGTCCTTTTAGCAACTGGTTGACGAAAACCAGAAATGCCTATGTATACTGTCATTTATTTTTTAACAGAGAAAGAAAAGGGAAATTAAGGTAATTTCTGCTATGATAGCATTAAAAAATACTGAGACTTCTTTCATCATTTTGGCCTATATTTGATTAACATTTTCTTTATATTGGCTTTATCTTTTTAAAAAAGGTAGAAAATCATTCACATATATTAACTTTTGTTTTTAATGTAATTCTAGAGTCATATGACTGAAAACATCCTGAAGCTTTAAGAACAATGTTATATTTGTCTCCTGAATGTATGTCCTCCAAAGGAAAGGAAAACAATTTGTAAAGGTGGGTGGGATGCCTAAGGACAGAGTCTTCTAAGCCATTAGTGATGACTTGCAATGTCTATTCATTCTGTGTCTCCCAAATAATTTTGTACCTATTGTGAGAAGACTATATGCCATCTGAGAAGAAAACTCAACCCTGCCTTATATGTAGATCAGTTACTCTGCTACTTTAATCATTCTGAAAACTCATTTTACATTTAGATCTGTCTATGATAGGAAGAGACCAATTCCCTGATGCTAAGATGAGGAAGTAAAAATGTATCAAATGCTTGTGTTCTTCATTTTCATTTGCCCCCTTCCCCATAGAAATTAAATGGATATGGGGCTGTCTTGTGCTGGCAGGCGTCCCTGAAGGCTGTGAAACTCAGACGGCCAGGATGCCCTAAAAGACCCAGGGCTAAGGTCTCAAGCTCCCCTGGGAAACCAGGGTCAGCACCACTGGGAACAGTTGCCGAGGTGTGTGTACGTGAGCCCCACAGAGCCCCACTGCACCGTGATATTTCCAAACAAGAGCGTCGTGAATCAAGCTAGCCAAGGAAAGCTGCTCTGTTTTGAAAGGAGCATATTCAAGTGAGAAACGGCTGGAGCAGCAGGGTGATTTAATACTTGTTAGCTGATAAATATAGCCTTTGCCAGAATAAAACTTTATGATGCAGTGTTGAAAAGCTTAATTACTAAACTGTCTGTGCGCTCCTTGCCCAGGCAGCAAAGGTGACAGATTATAATCAGAGTAGTATTTTTCACCTTTGGCATTTCTGAAGGGGAGAAGTATGTCTCAAAACATCAAGAAAGCAGTAACAATTGTAGGTGAGTTGGGGGAAAAAAGACACTTCATTGAGTCACCAAGCCTTCTGTGCAAAATACCATCAGCCCCAACCCTGCCTACACATCACCTTGCCAAGAAAAAAAAGTTCATTTTACATTTACCTGGTATTTTGTACTCATCCAAATACAAATATATGCATATATTTCTATATATTTATAAATATATATAATTTATATATATAGGCCAATATATAAAATATATATTTATATTTGGGTGAGTATAAAATATACTCATCTATCTGTGAGTATCCACTTCCCATCCTCCTAACATTTTTGTGAAATAAACAGAGCAAGGATTTCTTATTCACATTTGACAAATGAGGAAACAGAGGCCCAGATATGGATCAACCAAGGTCACATAATGAGCTGCCGAGACGAGATCCATGCATCCCACCACCCGGTCCTATTTACGTGCTGCTCTGCTACTGCCAGATGAACATGGTGATTGAGGCTGATCTGAAGCGTTGGTTGGAGGTACAGTCACCACCACGTGGTCCTCTCGTTGATGGTTCATTTCAGAGAGCTAGCACTAATCCTGATGTGATATATACAGGGGTCTGATATGGAATAAACTCTCCCTAATACCAGCTACATGATTTATATTCCTCTTATTTTCATTTGCTGGTTTATTTCCTTCCATGGGGGGGCTCTTGCTATGAGAAATGGCTGCATCATAATGATATTGGACATCAACCTAACAGTAGTTGGTTGGCTACAGACTATGTTGATGATTTCCCTTGTATTTCTTTGTTTCTTCATTCCTTTGTTCCATTCCCCTCTCCTCTGTCATTTCTTTCTTCCCTTTTATTTTTCCTCCTGCTTCATCCCCTCTGCCCAATTCTCCATTCTTAGAAACCCGGAAGATAAGTGCAATCACATTATGATTAATATTTGTCTTATTTTCATTTTTTTCCTAAAATTTAAAGCAGTTGATTCTGCTTTTTATTCAAGTGGACTAGATCATCATTATTTATATTTTTCAAAAGCGATGCAAGAATTTAAAACTGGCTGTGGCTTTCAGGGATCTCAATGCTAATAACCTAAAAGTACAATGCAAAGCATGGAATCAGCATCTGTGGTAGCAGACGCAATGGAATATAGTCAGCAATCTCCTCCTAAATATTCTAGTTAGGGGAAGACAAGTCACATGGGGTGGAAGGCAGGGTCAAGTGCATGTCGGTGTCATGGCAGGCAGTAAATAAGATGCTCTAACTTGTGAAGCTGGGGAATCCTAAGAGAAAGACCATGTTAAATTAGGAGAGGATGCCTGAACAGCTGCAGAAATGCATCAGGCCAACACATCCCTCTGCGCCATACCTGAGCAGACCTGGCTGACTCCAGGAATCCAAACTGTATTATCAGGACAATGAGTCTGGTCTTTGGAGAAGGTTCAATGGGACACAGAAAGTGGTTTCTGGAAAGAAGAAAAAACCTCAGCAAACCTCAGACCAGCCTATGCAGGACTGAGCTGCTGTATTCCAATCTGAAATGTATTTGTGTCTTGCCTATTATCAACTGACCGGATAAGCCAAAGAGGGTTGGAATGGTAATGTGTCCTATATTGCCTTCTCAACAGACCATGATTATAGACCACATAAGAGTTCATAGCAGAATCCATCATACGAACCTGCTAAAGAGAAAGACTGTATAGAAGAGGGTTAGTTTAAAGAACACATAGAGCCCTGGCTGGTGTAGCTCAGTGGATTGAGTATGGGCCTGTGAAGCAAAGGGTTGCTGGTTTGGTTCCCAGTCAGGGCACATGCCTGGGTTGCGGGCCAGCTCCCTAGTGGGGGATACATGGGAGGCAACCACACATTGATGTTTCTCTCCCACTTTGTTCCTTCCCTTTCCCTCTCTCCAAAAATAAATTAAAAAGTCACGTACAATCATAGAATCCTGGAAATTGAAGTTTAGAGGGCTTGGAGACCATTTTGACCATTTCTTAAGCCATCTTGGGTTTTGAACCCATTTGAGAAGCTATGGAAAACTATGAATCTTCTAAAAACAACAATAAAAATAACCGCACATATGCACATAGAATTTGTAAACCATCCTGGAGCCTGTTCTTGTGAATAGGTTTCATTGGATCACAGCCTTGCCCATTCATTTGTGCATTGTCTATGGCTGCTTTTTTACAACAGTAGAGATAAGTGTTTGTTAGAGACCATATAGTCTTCAAATCCTAAAACAGTTAACTATATGATGCTTTAATAAACAATTTGCTTACTCCTGTTCTAGGGAGTTACAAATCCTCCAAAGTCTATTTTTAGACACTCAGGGGTCTATGGACTTCAGATTAAGAACTTTTAAATCTCAGCCTTCTGATTTTATGTAATTACAGGCTTATGTTAGCTCCACACATCTGGTCCATTGTTCCTTGATCCTGTGCCCCACTGTAAATCCTTTAAGACAAGAGTATAGCTTCCCAGTTAAGAACATATTTTCTGGCATTAAATAGATCTGTATTTTATCCATAATTTTAGCTTCATTTTATGACCTTGAGACAGTTACAAAATCTCACAAATCCCTCATCACCTGAAAGATGAGTTAATGGTAGCTATTCATAAGATTGTTGTGAGACGTAAATATAAAGAAAACCTTAGAGAGCTGCACACGTGGCAAGTGCTTAATGAATGACAATGGTGGTGATGATGACAAAGGGGAGAAAGAAGGAGAATTAAGAAGAGCACCAGCAGATCCTCCTGGTGGCCCTGAGGCCCCTAGGAAGGCTAGTTCCCTCTGCATTGACATAGGACACTTAGGACTAAGTTGATGATGAGGTGAGTGTGTGCAGTGACAGTAAACCGTGGTGAAACTCAGAAGCTCTATGTTTCCTCAAAATCTTCATGACACTGAATAGTAGTGTCTACCTGAGACCAGCTGTGAGCCACTTTCTCTTGTCTTCTTGCAGTTAAGTAGATACTTGTTGCTTGCGGAAAAGGTGGTTTGCTCTAATGTGGTCCTTGAAAAGAAACCAGGAGTAGAGATGGTGTAAAGTAGCAGCATTCTCTGCAATGAACTGTATCATTCCTTTTTTAATAAGTATGTGTGCTGACTGCAAAAAAATTGAGTGTTTGGACTGGATTCTCCTAAAGATTGTTTACAGGCAGACCTTGGAGCTATTGAGGGTTTGGTTCCAAACCACCGCTATAAAGTGAGTACTGCAATTCAGTGATTCATAATCTTTCTGCTGGTAGAGGGTTATTTCCTTCAGTTTGTAAAACACACATCTGTGAAGCATAGTAAAACAAGGTATGCCTATACTTAAGCTCTGAAACACTAAAAACTAGGAGCGAGTTTTTTCACACTCTTAACGTGTTTGGCTAGGTATGCAAATTCGTCCCCAGTCTTTGGCCTTCGTTTTTAAAAGCTAAACTCCTGGTAAGTAGTAATGACTCGTGGGGAGTTCCATGCCATCCTAAATCCACCACCTTCCAGACGTGTGATAGCAGACCAGTTTCTGATGTCTCTGAGCCTCCAGATCTTCATCTATGAAGTGGGGATGTTAATTTTACCTACCTTAGGGTTATTCTGAGGGTTATGGAATATACAGGTAAAGATTTTAGCTCTGTGCCCTGCTTATAGAAAGTATTCAATAAATGTTAGCTATTATTACTACTATTATTGTTAGCAAAACATTATTAGGAGAATTATCCCTCATAAAGACCCCTACCTTTATAGGCAGCATTGGACCTAGCCAGAAAACCAAGCGAATATTTGTAAAACTCATCGGGGACTGCATGCAGGTGCCGTAGTAAGTTTGGCCTCAGAGTCATGTCTTCAAAAATTCTTAATGACTCTTGATTGAGTAAATGAATGAATCTTATTGCCATGCTCCTTAACATACCTCCACAGTACCATGTTTTCTCCCAGGGACCCTAGTCTCTTCGCTCTCATTATAGTATTCACATGTGTACTTAGTCGTTCAATATCAACTTG